CTCTCTCTCTCTCTCTCTCTCTCTCTCTCTCTCTCTCTGTTCTTCCCCGCTGGGAAACGCGCAAATCCGTTTCCTCGCGGATGTTGTGCTCTCCCAGCTTCCTCTCCAAGAGCCGCCAAAGTGTGTGTTGTATCTTCTTCTTCGGCTTCACTGCCGTCGTGGAAACGACAGATGGGATTCGAACGAGACAAATCGAAGATGTTGATCTTCTGGTGCTGGAGCCTCCAGCAAGCTTCTTGAAGACACGTTCGCAGGAGGAAAGTTACTCTCTAAATCTTGACTTATGAACTCTTTGAAACTTTCCCGATTTAACTGACGTTTCCAAAGTTCCTTCTGTCCCTTTCTGTCTCCCTTTTCTTTTCTCTCACTCGATCGAGAGAACCATTCCACGTCAGTCTTCTTGATTTTGTCTCTTCGCGAATGTTTTCTTCTTCTTCTTCGATTTTGCAGCTACAGCGGAAACCACCGAAGATGTGTCTTCTTTATTTTCCCGTAAGTTTTGCAGTTGATGTCAAAACAACGAGGTAGAATTCGAATTTTAAAAAATGGAAAACGCTGATCTTCCGATTCTCGAAGTCCAAGTTTTTAAAGAGAAGTTACGAACTGCGACTTACGTACTCTAACTTTTCCGAATTAATCGACATTTCCAAAGATTTCTCCGTTCTTTTTCGTTCTTTGTCTTTCTGTCTCTCCTTTCACTCTTGCCAGTACCACTGAATTGTTTTCCTCGACGACCTTTTCGCTTCCTCAATTTGTTGGACCTCAGCAGGTACGCTCGTTCGTTCTGCTCGACCAGAGGAACGCTCTACTACCGACTCTGCTCCTCATTAGACTAATAGGATCACAGCGACTGCGACGACCACGGCGGTGGCGTCTCGTTACAGGCGTGCAGCGCGTTTTCCGCGGTCCGCGACCTTGACAAGTCCCACCCGACGGTGCTGGTGGTAGCAAGTGAGCAGCATTACGTAAAGCCGAAGTCGCGGCGTTCCTCAATTCGTCGGCCCGGCGTCGCGACGCCCCGCGGCTCTCGCGCGAACACCTTCTCGAGTATCATTCTTGTCTACCAGTGGTAGACGAAGCGATATCGACATCCGCGAGCCAGAAATCGGTAAATGAGCAATTCTCCGGAGATAAATTGCGCCGGAAGAGAGCCAGCGATCCAAGAGGAAGAAAGTTGCGAAAAAGTGCGAACCACTTTCCCAAGATGCGTTTCTTCCCGTTCGTCTTCAAGAATGTTCCTCCCCGCGAAATTAAGATTTGTCGGCGATTCTTCCGCAACTTCTTCGGTTGTTAGCTAAGAGCGTACCTTCTCGAGCACAATTATTTCGTTCGGCAGACTTCCTTCCTCGAATCTTGCTGCCATGAACATCTCCTCAAGATTGCTTCTTGATGCTCTCCTTCTTCTTCCAGTTTCCTCTCTCCTCGTGTCACACTTTGCGAAACTTCCTTTCGAGTCTCTTTCGATAGGATTTATTCCGGGATCTCTCCTCGCGCAGGATTCTCGATCATCATCTCTTCTCGGAGGCGAGCCGGGAGAAACTCGGCCTTATCGATATATCGATTCCCTACGGCGATATTCGCCTCTCGGCGATTCTCCACGTTCACAAATCAGTCATTCTCATTCGCGCCGTCTGAATCATTACGGGATAATTGTCGGGGCAATTGCTATTCCTCATGTGTGCAACGGTCCCCGTAGATGGCGAATCTCGTTCCGCTAATAGATGAGCGATTTCCTACGATTGTCCGACGTGTGGAAGAAACCGGCGTGCTCATTCATCGTCAATCATCATTTTCCCGTAACACTCCTGGTCGTTAAGGGAAAAAGAAAACTTGCCGTGCGTTCCCTGGCGAGCTTCAGGAACTGAAACGACGGGCCCTGAGCGCCGTGACTAACGGGGTATTCGACCCTGAGAGTTTCACGAGAGACGGGATCGATCGCTGGGGAGACGCGCGATGCTTTCCTAGATCGTCGTTGATCTAGGCGCGATAAGTATGTTTACGAGATTGAGATTGCGTCCGACCACCACGTGGTGGCTGGAAACGCGGAATTACAGGTATGACTGGTCCTGAAGTAGCACGGCGACTTGCGCACCACGTGATCCGCGTGGTCTCTCTCGCGGAAAAACACAATGCGCGTCTTCGCGTCTAGCAACGTGACCGATCGATCTCCGATCTCGATCTCTCCTGCCCGCTCCAAAGTCGAGCGTTTTTCGTGACACGCCGATTGCGATCGCGCTAGATCTTATCGCGTCTGACGTCGTATCGAGACTGATACGATCTTCATGTAATGAAATCATTCATCATATATACGATAAATATTTAAGTGTTTGCTATATATATTAAGTATATTATGCGAATATTTTCTCAATTTTAGGTATATTCGAATATTACCTCGAGAGTAATAACAAGTGTTTCATTACGTGTAACGAAATTGTTTGGTTACGAATTTGTTATTATCACACGACATCGTCGCAATTGTCAACACGATAATTACCAGTGAAACTTTCAAGAACGAACAAAGTCGTCTGGCCGACAATCGAATCTCCGCGCGCCCGATTTCGAGACACTTCGGGATTTTGAAAACTGAGGCTTGTGTGTCACACCTCTTTCTCTCTCTCTCTCGACTACGCGCTCTCCCTCAAGATCGCGATCGCTCAGAGCCTCCTCCACGTCTCATCCCCGGTGTCCTCCACACATCGAACCCTTGTATCTCCGCTCGCTGCCACAACCCCCGGGTTTAAACCTTCCCTCTCGCGACAAATCCGCGACGTTTGGCACCGGCTCGACGGACGAAACGACTCCGCGACGACGCGGAAACAACAATAACAACAACAACAATAACAACACGGGACGACAACCTCGCGTCGCGTCGGCGATACGCGGCGGCCGCACGCAAATCGGCGAAGGAGCGGAACGACGGATCGGCACGAGCAACAGGACTCGCACTGCACGCGACGAGAATCCCCGGGAGAACCCGCGACAACGTATATACGTCAGACTGGCGGAAAGCCAAGTCGTTCGCCGCGGTAACGACAGGTGTTGTTGGCGAACAGCTCGGGTGGGGTGAGCGAGCAACGAGAGCAGGTGGGGGGGAGGGATCGGGCCGAGTAGGTGGGGTGCAAAACCTTCGCCGAGAGGAGTCGACCTCAGCTGTTGCTGCTGCACGCAGCATCTATATGTCACGGATCCTTGGTAGTGCGACTCGGATCACTCGACCGAGAGTATCTCTCCGTCTTGATCGTTAAGAAGGAAAAATCGTCGCGTGGAATAACAATGGCCACGGCGGTGGACTATGCAGGGTAAATATGCGGGGTGCGCCGGAGGATCTCGGTGGGGTTTCCTCCTCTAAGTGATGACGGTTCGCTTGGCTCAATTTGGGCCTCGACCATTGTCGTCGTGACTCTTAACACTGCGCGTTTCAATTACGTTGTAATTGAGGCATTCGAAAGAATTCTCACGAGCTTTCGGGAGGCCCGACACGTGCAGTATTGACGGGGAAACGACTAGCTGCCAGTCTCGAAGGAGCCGATAAACACGCCTCCTCTTAGAATTCGTTATTAAAGAAACGGCAGACCAACACGCCTGGTTTTATAGTGCATTTTGTAATTCAAATTGCCTCTTGTCGAGATCACAGAAGCACCGCGACACTTCTTCAATAAACTTATGTAATAAACGAATGAAATTTCAATGCGTGTGTGTGTATATATATATATGTATATGTGTGTGTGTGTGTGTGACAGTAATAAAATAAAAAAATTATCAGTCCATTAAGGAACGAGATGGGATCGATAATAAAATTATAGCGGATTAATTAAAGCGTTCAATAAGTAATCGTTGATTGAAAAACAGAGCGGAGTTGTCGGGCAAGTTTGCTGAGGAAAAAGTCTGAAAAGAAAAAATCCTGAAAAGAGAAAAATCGGGCATTAGTAAAAGAGGACAGCTTGTGTATACATACAATGATGCACAATCAGCTGTATTTGATTTCCCCTTGAAGACTACATTTCATTAAATTAAAATAGATTCTTCCGAGAACTCGTCGTAGAAGTTTCTTAATCGGCCGACGGGAGATTTAATTAAAATGTGCCACGTAATAGTAATTCGAATACATTACGGTATTCAGGAAGCATAATTGCGGCACGGCTAATAATAACAAACGCATTGAAGCAAGTATTACAAGGTAAGATACTTAGGAAATGGAAAACCAGAGATACATTCGCAATGAGTTGCGCAATCGTGATGCGTGTCGCTTGCGAAAAACGCGCAAAAAAAAAAAGAAGTTGCCGTCGATGCTGCCACGCGAAGCGTCATTTGTTAGATGTAAAATCCTACACGCTTCTAAAGATCGTGAGAGAATCCCGAAAAGCTAGAGATCAGATTTCAATATTCAATTGCGAATATTTTTGCGAATAGTTTACGTGTAATTTGTTATATGTGCACTTATTAATCCCGCGCGAGAATGATTAATGATCGCGCATTTTTAGAGAGACTGGGAGACTGGAGATTGAAAGGATCAGTGCTGACACGAAGATGTTCAACTGCATAGGCAGAAAAAATACCTGAGATATGGTAAATATTTATTCGGTGAGTAAACGTATTTACTTACAGATTGATATAACATATTCTTCAAATAAGAAAATGTACATTTTCTCAAGAGCTCAAAGAAAATTGTAGCTTTTCATAAGAGCAATTGTTTACTTTAAATAAAAGAATGTATATTCAAGTAAATATGTTATTTTGATAAAAAAGTCAGAGAAATAATTACTATTTTTTGGATATCTTTTTCTCTCAGTGTACTGCTTTTAATTCTTTCACGTTCTCTATCGCTGTCCTAAAAGTTAAAAACATGCAAGTAATAACGAAAAAAATTGTTTATATCGCGCATGCCAATGAGCACGTAGCGGCGCACGATCGACAGATTAATACGCCGTGTTTACTTTAAATCCTCTCGAATAACTAAAGGACTAATAAGACGCTAAGGCTGAACTTGGTTATGGATAACACTGTGTATTTGAGGAAGTCTCGACCTTTATTGGTCGAAATTCGCAAAAACATATACAGATTTATAACTCTCGCAACGATGTAACAGTCATTTCCACACACTCCAGTGAAATGATATACATATGTTCTGACGATTTGAGCGCTACGACGATTAATCGAACTAGATAGTCCTCAGTATACGCAAAATATATGACCAATTCCTCTACTTCGACAAAAGAGAAGAGATCTCAAAAGAACCAGAACTAATAAATTACATACAGGCGCTCCGACGAGTAAAATACCACATTGCACAGAAACATACTTTACAATATCAAAATTCTATATTTACATTTAATTATCCTTCTTCATTCTGTTCGATGTCATCCTGTAGATGATAGAATCCCGTCCCGGATCCATATCGCCGATGGCAACTGAAAATATGGAAATTTTACCGTTCTACTCGATTTCCTTCGACAAGACAATCACGAATATGATTGCGGGAAAAGGAAAACCGCCTTATTCTTCGTTTTGCAAAATCAAGTTGTATCCGATATTAAAATATTGAAACCCAATGTCTCCTGTAAAATCGCTACAGAGAGCTATTAGATGTTCCGCGGCTTCAGGAATTTCTAACTTTGCAATAAAACAGAAAATCTCAGTTCGTATAACTTAACAGAGATCAGACGAAGACTTATGAATCAGAAATGACATCTCTGTTGCAAGGAATGAAAACATTCGTCTGAGCATTCGAGCGTTTTAAAACTCGATTGAGATTACTGAGACCAATTGACTGAGTAGGAATTTCCTTCAGTCTCCGAGATTTCGTCTGGTCTCCAAATAACAGGAAATTAATTATACAAATCAAGTATTTTTTCCATGCAATACTCAAAGTATTAAAAAGATTTCGTTGTTTGTGGGGAATGATTTGACGTATTTACTGAGAGCGAGATAACAACACACGCACGAAGTTTTATCATCGATTCGTAAGATAAACCTTTCGAAAATTTTAGAGATTATCTGTTGAGTGCAAGAGGAAAATTTCATGAATCAGCCTTCCACATTTCGAGAGATACGTACTGCAAATGACTAAGAGAGAGAAGACGAAAATGACGCCGAACCATAGTATTATGTTGAAGATGACGGGATAGTCCTCCGTGTAAGTTTTCGCGCGGCCGGAAAATTCGGGCTGAAACAAAAGACATATAATAGACAGTCGGACGCAATCCTTGAATCCTACGAGTTTCAATCTTGCCAATGTCTTTCTGGTACTCGCTCGCTAACTAATAGCACTCTACACTTCTTAACACTTCGCGAATGAATCACGTGTGATAAATTGATTTTTCTGTCCTCTACAAAACTACTTTTTTTATAGAGAAAGAAAGAGAAAAAAAAGAGAAAGAAAGAGAGGGAGAAATAAATTTACATACATTTCTTATTAATCAGTACAAGATACATATTCATCATTTTAATCGGTTGTTTTGTTTCATATTCTGCAGAAGAGGAAAACATGACATAAAATTCGTGAGAAATAATAAGTAGCGACAAGCAATGAATTTTTAATTCGCAAGTTGTCAAAGAATAGGCTACGGTTTTTCGACATTATTTTTCAACTTTTCTATCGCAGCCTGCAATATCCATAACGCTTTGCTGTACAATTTTGTAATAATGCAATTTTCTTCGCGAAGTGTTAATACATAAGAATATCAAAGCTTTCGTAATTAATATATGAAACGGTTTCAAGGATTCGCAACTGGTTAACAGGATCTGACTTCGATACACGCTAAACAATTAATCGGCTAATTAAATCTTCCTTAATAAAAACTTTCCCTAACAAAAAATTGAAGAAGTAAAGACTGTAGACTTGTAGATTTATTATCGTAAAAACATGTGCATGCAATTGAACACAACAAGACCAACATGCAAGATCGTGATTTTGCACCTAAGAAGAAAAGTGAGAGAATAGTCTATTTTCTCTGTTTTTACATATTCACGTAGAATGTTAATTAGATTTCTGCGGGAAAGAAATAATTGTTCAGAGGTCGTGTGTTAATTTGGGCTTCTCAGGCGCAAGATCGTCGGCAAAACCAATTGTCTAAAAATCGCGGTTTAATTGCACGAATAACTATTAATTAAGCATCATTCGCATGAGCAGTAATTTTTTAGTGCTGATCAGCGGGCGGCAATTTCAATGCAAAGAAAAATCACACGAACTGAAACAAAAATCACTACTGCGGGATTGAAGCCGAACGAGAATTGAATGAGTGTAGGAAGATTCTCAGTTAATGTTGTTCGGCTACTGAAAAGTACGCTTCGTAAAACACTAAATAAATCGTTTATCCTGCTAGGAACTCAGGCGCTCTAATACTCCGGCAAGGTCTGGCAGAAAACGAAAACAATGGAAGAGTCCAGGGGAAGGAGACTTGACGAAATATTTATCGCTCGATACGTAATCTTGTTTTTTCCCCTTTTCTTTTTTTCTTTGTTAAAGTTTGTTCGTATACTTCAGTCTGTACACCCGACAGTACGCACACCTCGCACCACACTTATTTGTCTTTGTTACGACATATTCTGTAAACTGCGGCTTCACTGAGTGTTGTTTTCTCTTCTTTTCTGTCCGACGTTCGAAAATCAATTCGCCCTCATCTCTCAGTATGTCACGTTTATTCGTGCATTACAAGAAAAAAAAAGGAATTAATTAATATCGTGCAGCATTATACATGTGCATGATGTTAAGATTTAAAAAATGAAAGACGAGAAATACGACAAGTTGTATCGAAAGTCAAGTTTTTCCCCTAGATCCTTCGACTGCGATGCATGTTAATATGTTTGCGATACCTGTCCTATTGTCTGTGTGTTAGTATTAAGCTCCTTATTAACCGAGTCCAGGTCGGATTTATCCGACGTCCAGCTATCATTCTGAACGCTCGAGCGTTCAGTAGTGCTGTCGATAGTGTCGGACTCGGTAGTACTATGCATTTTATTCTTTACATCCTCTTCTTCCTTTTTATTTATTTGCTGGTCTTGCTCGTCGTCTCGCTACAACCAAGTGTTGTTCAGTAATCTCAGTGAAGTAGTTAAAACACCAAGCCTTCTCGAGGCTCCGAGGATAGTAGAACTTTTAAGGACTTAACTTCGCGAGTAGATTAGATTTACTCGACATACAGTTTAAAATTTTATCGTGTGCAAGAACAGGGAAATCTCAAAGATCCAGCTTTACGAGTGTTTTAAGTTAGTTTCATAGAAAGTTTCAAATTTTCTTGGCTTCCTCTGACAAAAATACCGGAATATCAAAGGCACGATTGAGCGAATTGATAAATCTGTAAGCTCCGAACTTCAGGCTCCAAGAATGTTGAAGTATCAAGAGTCACATTTATCTAAATTCACCGATACGCAAAGATTCAATACGTCAAGGATCTAGCTTGGCGCGTATCAAACTCACAGGAGCTTGTTAAATTTCGCGAATTGTTCAACGGAAATTTTTGAAAAAAAAAACTGAGCTGGAAATCGATCATTTTTGGATGGTTAGTTTGTAAGTTCGTAGGTCGGAGTAATTAGAGTAATTTATCGTGTTCGAGAGTCATGCAGAAAGCTACCTCTAAATCGAAAAAGAACACTCTCAGTCAAGTAGACCATGCAGTATGATTCGACACGGTACCTTGGTCAACAAATTATCGTTAAAGTTTGAACTAGTTGGCGCTCCCTTGGCACTATCAGCAGATTTAACACTGTTAGTCTTATAAGCCTACAAAAGGTCCCGTAACAATTATAAACAGTACAGATGAAGAATAGATAATTGTGAGCGAATTAATTTCGCGACGCGACTCTGTTATGTGTGTGCAACTCTGAACAATAGTATATTCAAAAAAATAAACGCGTTGAAAATTGTATCTAACGATTTTTCGGACTCTCCATCGTATGCAGCTTACAAATTCTTCTATTCAATCCGGATAACATCTATTTATTATTTATAAATATATTACATATACTAAAAAATTGTGGAGAACATGTAATATCTTAGGAGAAAGGTATAACAATTGTTAATCTATGTAGGGGAATATAACGGAAAATATTCGCCGATCGTTTATACTATATTCACAATAATATGAGTTTTTGTTTAACGTTTCTTAAGTGAAAAGTATGATACTTACTCACTTGCTGAAATCACTCGTAAAATTTGAGTGCAAATGTTGATTACTATTTACATATATTTAAGGAGGAATGTAAAAGCTAAAGTATAACAGTTACATATTTGAAACATTGTTGTGAACCTAATTTTAAAGACAGAACTTGAAAACTTTATATTTAACAAGTATATGTCTTTATTCAAAAATGTGTAAAAATTTAATGTTACTATATGTGATGGACAATAAACTTCTGTATACTTTTTTATAAATGCTTTATGATATATAAATTTTTTTATCAATCGTTATTGAAAGTATTCAATTAATTTTTTCGTTTTTTTCTTTTAATAACTTCTAGAATTATGTGAGAAGGATAGAGTTATTGTTCTCGTGTTTTTATTGTATAATTCCTCTAAAAAAAATTACAAAATTATAATTCTAATTAAAAATTAAATAAGTAAATAAAATTATAAACAGAAATAAAATTATAACAATTTTGTGATCTAAAAACAAGTTACAATTATATAACGTAGTCACGTAACACAGTAAGAATAATAATTCTAAAGAATTTTATTTCTCACATGCAAAACTACATAATTCTTGAAGATATTGTAAAAAAAAATTAGTTGAATATTTCCAATGAAATATTAATAAAAATATACATATATTATAATGCTACATTGCATATATTGCTAAGATGCATATATTATAATATGCATATAATATGAAATATAATCAGCTTTTTATCTAATCTGTATAGTAACATGTAGTATAGTATCATCACTGTATAGTATCATAGAATTTCTACACATATTTGTAAAAATGTGTAGAACATATTATGTGTGCAAAATTTCAAGGTTCTATCTTTAAAATTAGATTCACAAAAGTGTTTCAAATATGAAACTATATTTTGGCTTATATCCTCCTTTAAGCACATTGTACATCATATTGTAAAACGATTAAAACATTAAGGATTGAAATAAAGAAATTTTTTAGATGCTAAGTAATTTAAGATTATAAGTTTATTTTCGATTTTGCGCTGATAGTGACAAATACTATTTGTAAACATCTTTCAATCAGTATTCCCAAATATATTCAAGTAGTCCCATATTTGAAATGCATTAGATATTTTGAAAGACGCGATTTGAGTTTAAGGTAATACAAGTTGCAGTACTCACCGGGGCGTCAGTCTCTCTGGATCGTCTCTCGAGAAGCACAGAACGGGCGTTCCTAACCTTGCTGGCATCATTTGTGAATGCTGCAATTACAACCTAAACAGAGATCAGAAATAAATTTTAAAAATATTATCTCTCTTTCCCTCTTTTTCTCTCTAGATATAAAATACTGTACTAAGGTTATCAAATCAGGAAGGATTAAAATCTATATAAATAATACAAACTGGGACATCATAATGTCTGGAATAAAACCATCAAAATGCATACTTTGCCGTCGTAAGCATTCACAAAGGCCTTGGACGTGCGTTCCATGGCGTCATTCAATAGAGTATATGCCTCTTTGGCTGCCTCAGAGTTGTTCCCATGGAGATCTAGGACTGGTTTAAGTGCTGACACCACTATCCAATAAACGTCTGTACCAGAGTCATGTTTCTTTGTGGAAGACGCATTGTCGGCGATCGCGTTGAGGAGCTGCATCTCCTCGATGAATTTGCGATCCTCCTCAATTTCTGAGTTCAGCACTGTCAACTTCTCTATGTTAGCGGGCTTGAGCTCACCAAGAGCTGACTGACCTAACTGGTAAAATGAAAGGATCTTGTTTATAATACTTTATAACCAATGAAGAAATTAGAATCTAAAACAAGATATAGATGCAAGATATAGATGAGCAACCTCAATATTAGCATGTTTAATCATACTTACAGCATCGACACCATCGCTCAAGTTGATCCTAACTAGTGCATTGTCATTGCTCCTTTCTTCCACTCTGCTTCTAATTGCCTGCCAAGTGGTTTCCTCTGCTTCATCAAAAATCATGGCATATTCAACTTTTGCTTTATCTTTTATGAAGGATAACATTTCTATCCCCTCAATTGGCATCGCTACCAATGCCTTGGGCATTGAGAATGGGTCCCATATAGCAATGCTATGCTCTGTATCTTTCTGTAAGATCACAGACATTCAATTGATTAATATTCTATGCATCAAAAATCTTAAAAGACAAGTAAGCGATTAAGAAATCTATTTGTTCACCCATTTTTGATAATACAAGAATCTTGAACATCATAATTTAAATACTTCAAACATTTTCAAAGTTTTATCACACATGAGAATTTATAAAGTCAAACATTGTAAGATTAAAGATAACATGCCTGTTTTCCAGTATAACCAAGAGCTGCAGACAGGATCTCTTTAAGAACGCTTTGCTCGATCTCTCCATTTACATTGAATTCTACACTTTCAGGAGAATGTAGAACAGCAAATTTACCACTGGCTTGAACTAGAAAATAAACCAGACATACACTTTGTTTCAAATGTCACTCATGCATCGAAAAAAGCTCTGACATTTCTAATGGAAATAAAGACGGAACTCCAAAAATTTACTTAATATATAGATTTTCGAATAAATCTTAATGTATCTGTATCTTATAACCAAACATGCTAATAAAATCGCATAACTATCATAATTTACAGACACTTGGAGAAAAGGATTGATCCTTTTATCAAAAATGAAGAAGTTTGAACATTTCAAAGATATTCGATTTTTCTTGAGAAATTTTGGAAAAAATGGATCCTGTTGGTCCTGTAGCCGGAAATTTGATTGCGAGAAACTCGAAGAAAACCGTGACGATTCCAAAGGGATTTTCATATAATGAAGAGATAATTACCTGCTGCGAGGCCAGCGAGGAGCAATGATAATTGTCGGAGCATCGTTGCGCGAAAAAGCAATTCGTACACAACAGAAGACACTCCCTCGATTTCGCTCAATATTCGGACATGATCATGTGATCACCTGTGGTTCGTCACGAGTGGCCAATATGCGATATGAATCGACATTCGATTCCTTCTTTTCTAAAAGATCGATTATCTTCTCGATTTTTCCAAATCTAATCCCTGATGCTTCTTACTAACTAACTGTGCTGAACATGTGAGATACTTGTATGCTGCCCTTTATTTTCCGTTAAAATCTTATACGGCAGCCTTGAGATAATGGCGGTTTTCTAGGCGCGTCAAATGGCGTCGCGAAAAGACCCGTTATGCCTGGCGCGCGTCAAGTAGACTCGTTGCTTTCGTTCTGAAACCTCCGTTACGAGGCGCCACCGGTACCACCAACAAATCGAGATTGTAGCACGCGTCCATTTTCAAGTAGTACACTCGATGGTGGATCAGCCTTTCTATTGCTAATTGTTCCTGTCTCGACAGGAAGTCAAGACGGCCATTTTAGTTTCGAACAGTACAACTGAGGACGAGCTAGACACATTTTCCTTTTCGAGCTTTGCAACTCAAAGGAGCAGGTCGAAAGGTTATTTCACCTTCAAATAGCGCGACTCAATGGCGGTACAGAGGTACGTTTAGATTCAAACTATAAGACTTGACGACGAGTCAGACGAATTTTTTCAATAGCATGATCAGATCACTCATTTCCTTGTCTATAAGGAAATAACCTCGGTAGTCTCAGGAATTTTATATTCACAAAATCTGCCTAGCTTAACGTTAAAATTACATAATGGCGCATAATTATACCGCCGACAGTTTTTGGAAGTTTTACTAGAATTTCCCGTAAAACCCGCATCGGGCTATATATTGAAAAGGCTAAAATTCGACCATTGGATTAAACCGTGTAAATTATTACGCTGCCAGGGACATCGACAAGTTCAGATTCAAAGTTGCAAATTTTTGAAGTTACTCAACGGTCGTAAGGGATTATTATTTATTTATTATTATCGACGAATTTCGCGAGTTGACGGGGCGCGAGTGGGCGGCCAATGACCGCGGGAGAGAAAGAGACATGCGACCTCCAGGCAGGTGCAAGAGTGAGGGCGGGAGAGAGACGGGGTGAAAGAGAGAGACGGGGTGAAAGAGAGAGACACGTGACTGACGGGTGAGGGAGAGTGAGAGAGAGAGAGAGAAAGAGACGGGGAATAGCCGCGCGCACAAAGCGCGCCAGGTATCAGTACACGCTCGGCCGCCTGAGATGTAGGGTCGAGGTTTCGATCCGTGCAAAAATTCACCCGCGTCACGTCGGTCGGTCGGTCGGTCCGTCCGTCCTGCGTATTATCGACGGTATCACAACACTGGTGCGTCGTGCGTTGTTCGCGAGCAGACGCGTTGTTGTTACCTCGGTCAATCGGTGTGCGGTGTACCTGAGATGAGGTGAACGGTTTTTGCGGGGGAAACGCCGGAGTAAAGTGATGACAAGCATGTCTTCGCCGTGCATCACATCCTGTTTGCTGTTGTTGCTGCTGGCTGTCGTTCACTCCACCTCAGGTAAGTTTATTTCGGTAACCGTAATCGATTCGATAAACGCCGTCGGAATGCAGCGCGTATGTCGCGCGAAATTGAAGATCCCTGGCGAAGGGACGATATCTAACGAATATGTACGGAGTGTCCCGCGCTATTAGCCGCGTCAGAGCTCCAACTACAACCTCCCTCCAACGAATTCCGAGCCGATTTTTCCGCGGCTGGCGAGTATATGTGCGAGAGCGCCGATAGCACGAGAGTTTTAAGTGGATGGAAAGGAGGGACTTTGCGCGAGCCAAGTTTCAGGAAGGCAAATAGATCACTACACCATATTTTGCAGTTAATTAAAGATGGACTTTGCATTAATAAAGTTCCGAGGCTCAGTCACAAAACACACAGGATATTTGCTGCTTTAAACGTCGAGAGAGAGAGAGAGAGAGAGAGAGAGAAAAAAAAAGAGAGAGCACATAGATATTTAAAACAAAATAAAAGAAAAAAGGAAAATCGCGTAAATACAGATTCCGTGTTTCCTTCGTTTTTATTCCTCTTTAACTCGGAAAATGCCGTGAATGTTTACCGTATTTCGCTGCACGCACTAATTTCCGACCTATCTACGGCGACAATCGCAAATAATTTAACACCATTGGTGTCCCGAGACTGCGGCTGTATTTCGGCTGCCTCCATATACTTCCAAAGTTTGTCCGTTTACAGCGGGAACACCTTGTATAATGTTGAGAGTTGGGAAGTTGTGATAAATGATAGCCTCTCTCTCGATATTTTCGCTAAGGGAAAATCGACTTCAAATTACGATTACGAGTTGGATAACTTGTACACCCGGGTCTCTCTCTCTTTTTTGGAAAACACGACGCTGTTTTCCAAAAACTATTTTCCAAACGCGGCGTTTCATTGGAAATGCTGCAAATTCAGGATCAGTTTAACGAGGAAATTTTAGTAGCGAAAAAAACGGTCGCGACGGAAGGGAAGAAAAAGCACAAAAAACATATATGTACGAACGTTTCGCAAAAGTTATGAATAATAATAGAAAAGCGTAAAATATTGACATAAAGAAGATCGACGCCCAAAGTATTCTATAAAGTAAATTTTCAGAGACAAGTGCGCGTTGTCGAGCGAGCCTAGCCTTGAAATACGCAAATTTTTTTGGTCGTTTATACGATTTAATATTTTTTTTTCATAAAGTTAGATCGAATTTTGTAACGCAGTAGAAACGGCGAATGGGAAATCCTCTGCTAATCGAGGATATATTGCACTCTTTTATATTTTTGGGAATATATTTCTACTGGGATATTAAATATAATACGGTAATACACGTAGATACTCGAAAAATATGATTATTTGTTATGCTTTGCATTGGAAAGTTTAAAACAGAATTGACAGGTAGAAATACAGCGTATCATTAAACATGACACGTAATGCATCTGCTCGATGGGAAATCGATTTCGTTGTATTAACTTATACATCACCATTATTCCAATGGCGAAAATCCATCGGTACATGTATTGATCATAGAATTTAAATCTTAGAGAGACGAAAAATGGGAATTCGCGAGATGTGAAAAAAAGCGTGAGATAAAATTAGTTGAGAAATCATTTGAATCTCTCACAAAGCAAACGATATATGAAGAATGTATTAAACTGCGAGAGATAAAAATATATGAGGATAAGTTAAATTTTTTAATGCAGAGAAGAGAGAGATAGCGAGAGAATGAAAGTTTTATATATGAATTAAATTCTCAAGCGATTCCAAAGCAAGAAATAGCTACATATTAAAATCCGAAATAGGGTTGGGATTTAATGTGACACAGTATAATATAACATAATACAGAGGGATTTAATATAATACTAGGGCAAAACATAAATTCGTTGCAAAACGTGACTTGTCGGTGACATGTATAAATTCTGGAAAGGAAAGAGAGAGAGAGAGAAAGAGAGAAACGACCGAGGGGGTAAATTAAATTCTAGAAAGTGAGAAATGGGAATGCGTATTAAATTGCGAAAAAATGAAACGGGAGGAACGAAGCGACTTTCTCTAAACACAACGGGAGAATTTTTCGGATTTATCGTCTCGTCGCGGAATATCTGGATTTCACCCTCATCCCTGACAGCCGCCGCCGGCTGGAGCGATGGAGAGCGTGTCAATTCCAGAGGAGGCGGCCCTCTCGAACGCCAGGTCTCCGTTGGATTGATGAGGTCGTCGTGGATTACGCGGAAGCTGCATCAGCGCTAAAAGCTAATGGACCGGCATCCTTTGAAGATATTGCCATCGAGTACGAGACAGCGCTTAACCACTCGAGAGAGCCTCTACTACCCCCTTCGCCGTTATGAACATTAACACTGGTCTACATAGAAGGAGAGTGAGAGGAAAAGCGAGAGAGAGAGAGAGAGAGAGAGAGAGAGAGAGAGAGAGAGAAACGGTTTGCGGATACTAATCACGCATCTGGAGTTCATGGCCTACCACAACGTCATCGTTCATTCATTATAAGAGACGTTAAGCGGAGAGACCCCACCAAAAACTCGCACGCTCGCCGGGAATGCTCGGTAGCAGATCTCATTTACATTCATCGGCAGGATAGTAGTCGCTCGTATATACGGCAGTCGTGCCGCCGCAATCAGTGTTCTTGCGCGACAGGTTCAGCGTTCATCTGCTGCTCGCGCTTTGAGGCACGATATTAAGACTCCAATTAAGCAGCCTCGTCGACTTGGAAACTAATATGCCATTGGATAACCCCAACGGATTCAGAACGCGCGCGTCCGTGTATCTCGGACGTCGATGTGAGGAGAAGGCAGGAAACTACCGTGAAGATCGCTCTTCCGCGTCTGCCATCTCTCCACTATCCCTCAGCCCCGTCAACATAGAGCCGAGAGAGAGGAGAGAGTGGGGAAGGGCGAAGGGAAGGGAGAGAAAGAGCGAGACGGAGGGTGGGAAAGCTGTACGTATAATGACGCGGCGTGTGTCCTTTGAAACGACTTGCAAACAGCGGTGCAAGCACTCGGAAGAGAGGAAAAGGGTGGAAATGGGTGGTTGAATGAGAGGAATCTCTAGGAATTACCGGAGGTCGTAGTTTAATCTTAGCGCTGCCATCAATTCCCGCGGAATTTAATCCCTCGCCGCGTACCCGTTATTTTCAGTAAGGAACGGGAACGTTCTCCATCAAAATGCCCGGGAACGACCCGCCATGCGACCACCAAAAATTGAAGCTACGACAACTCGCGGGATGTTGAGCTTCTCATGCGCGAACCGCACAAATCAGGCTCGCGTCTCGCGACGTTTCACGACGTTTGCATTCAGCCGAAATGGTTTAGTTATTGGTCTCTTGACGACTCAGCGTATTAGTCTCGCGATCGTATCTTTGGAATTTTTACATTGAGAGAGAAAAAATGTGTGATCTAACAAAAATTGTAGTTTTTTTGGCCGTAACCATATTCTTCAGTTACTCTAACGCGAAAATAGTAACATGCATATAAAGTTATCATCACTAACGTTACAGTAGAATTTAATTAAAAAATAATTTTCTTGGCCATAATTTGTAGTCATTATTTCTCCGTGTGATTAGTTACCAACTTTTCTTTAGTTACAAGCTTTTTTCTTGTCAGTGTAAAGGGTCGGAGAGTATGATGGCAATGATAACGAAATGATAACAATGTCATTGCGAATGACAATCGAGATACGGTCGTTATCTGCATAACAAAACGGGGTTTTATCGTTCCCTTTCTTCCCGAGCGGGATACAACGTTTGCCGACAAGAATGGGCTGTCTATAACCCGCGCAATCTCATTATCACCTATTGTCCAACGGGTTTTACGAGGGCGAAACAGGGAAACAAAAAGAAGAAA